GATGGATGGATGGATGGATGGATGGATGGATGGATGGATGGAGGATGAATGGATGGATGGATGGAGGTCTTTGGACTTTCCACTTAGTTGGAAAGTGTTGTGCTTTGGGGCATTATGCTGTTTTGGCTGCCACCAGTGGTTTTTCGAGTAAGATTAGTTTAAAAAAGTTAGAAAAAGCATATTTTTTCTCTTCTTTTGCCAAGCTTTAAATTATGATAGTTTTTTGTCAATATCTTTGAATCTTTTACCATAATAGCTTCCTTTAATATGCATTCCTCTCTGTTTAGTTCAAACCCTCTAAGACACTTGTTTGCTTCTATCGGCCAAATCACAGTTTTTTAATCATCTAATAATTTTGAGATCATTCTGTTTAACTGCATGTGATTGGATTCTGTCACAGATATATATAGAAAGTTCCCTAAAAATCCCAACAGCCTTGTTTTGATCCCCTCTGCTGGACTTAAACTGGTTCCAAAGGCTGTGCTGTCACACCTACAAACGCTGTGACTCATTTCCAGTTTAATGTCAGATGTCAGGCACACCCAAACTCAAGGATTAAAATGTTTTCGAAGAGTAGATCCACCTTAAATCCCACCGAACCAGACAGCAGCATGCTATATCCCACCAAACAGCCACTGTACTGTCGGATAAAACCTTTATCATCACTTCATTTGCTCATAATATCACGGTTTTGTTCAAATTTGACCACCGTTTAACGAACGTGTGACGCAAAACACCTATTTTCGCTCGCTCAACATGAGGGAAACAAGCCTGGAAAGCTGCTGTCACAGAGATGGTGACTTCATGGTCCAGGGTGTGAAGAGGGAAAGAACTGCTCACTCCACGTGAGAGAAGACGGGGGAGTCACACACAACAAACGAACAGCAGACACACAAAAAGAGACGTTTCAGGTGGAGCAAAAGACGGGAAGTTTTCAATCAATCAAGTTTAGTTGTATAGCCCTTTATAATAGGCGAAAGGTACCCAAAGTGCTTTACAACAAAGC